TTTCGGAGATAAAATCAAAATAAAAACAAATAACAAACCTTATTTTTTTAATATACCTTTTAAATTCTGATTCCAATATCCGATTTGGGCATATAATCAATGCTTAATTCCAAAAAGCGGTAAATTCACAGCATAAAAATTGATGCGGATTTTACTGTCATTCTTTTTACCGGGGACTGTACTTTCAATATAATTGGATCAAATAATTATAGAGTTATGAAAATTTTCATAATTATATGAATAGTTATTTGAATTGTGAATTTGAAGTTTTAATATTACAATTGCAATTTTTTTAATTTGCAATCATTAAAAGATAGAAATATGAACTAATTCTTTAAAACAAATTATGATAATCTTATAATAATCTTTTTTTTTAAAAAAATTTTGTTATAATAAAATTTAAAAATTATTCATTATTCTCTAAAGAATATTGGTTAATAAATATGAGTATAAGATAAATTTATACTAGTGAGTGAAATATTAATTTAAATAAATTTAAATAAAGCCAATTTATAAAGAAATTTTATAGATTTATAGCATTGTAAAAAGCGTATTATAAATCAATTCAATAATCTCGATTCTTGATTTTTACTTTTTACTGTAATTAAAATGTTAAATAATTGACAAGAAGCGATTTAAAGTTTATTAATAGTATGTTTCTCTTTAAAATTAATTTTAATTTTGATTTTATGAAATTGAAATTTAATCAAAATAGTTGGTGCTAAAAAACCTTTTTTATTTATTTTTTTGGTTTTCCACGAAAACAATGACGATATATTAATAAACCACCTAAAGGTTTTATTGGGATTTACAAACTTGCAAGCCATAACTGGGCACTACCTTATGGCTTAACATCAAATATCGCGTAATGTGTCATATGTGTCTATTTGACAAAAATTTTCTGCAGCACACTTATACATAGCGATTTTAAACAAACACTTAAGCTCGGTTGAAATTAAACAGAAGTTATTCATTTTCTCTTAAAACATAATATATCTAATAATATTGATAATGTACAAATTAAGTGAATGTTTATAACAACGATCAATCATGAAAATGTATACGGCCTTTCATTTTTTGTAGTTGAAGCATATGTTTAGGAAATATATGAATTACTTATTAATATTAAGCATACATGTCTAAAACAAAAAATAAATAAAGAATCTAAATGACATCTGGAAATAATACTTGTTTACGACGATGTTGTTCTTAAGCAAAAATAGTCAAGTTCATAAATAAGACAATAAAATGTTTATTATTCGAATTGAACTGACTTTTATTATACAATTTTGTTACATTCTGCGACTTGAAAAAGATTAAAACGATTAAGAATTTTAAAATATAATTTATTTGGTTATGTAAAATTAGTAGCAACAGCCGTGGTAAATTCTAGAGTTGGCTCAGTCAGTCGTCAGATCCTTTACAATCGACTTAGCTGTTAACTAAGTTTCAACTCTCATTTAACAACCATAATTTTATTATTAACATCTCAAAAGTTTTAATGTTTCAAAAAATAGATAATTATATATTTTAGCCAAATTAGAGTTGTCGGAATCCCATTCGGCAAAAAAATTTGAAACTTTTTATTTAATTTAGAATTTCTGACTATTCAGTCACGGCTCAGTAATTTTGAAAATTCCGGAATAGACTTCTCTTGATTTTTGCAGAGTTGGTATCACTATGCAACAAATAAAAATAGTTAGGTCCTCGTTAAAACGTTAAAATACTTGTTTGCTATTTGCATAATAAATCTAAGGTTATACAAAGATATCATAAAGCGCTGTTATTAATTTTTTGATCCTATAAAGAATTGAATCTCAAAATAAAACAAGAATCATGAAAAGATTAAAAATAAAAAAAATTCACATTTCATTTTCAAAATAAACTTCCCTTATGCAATAATCATATAACCTTAAGTAATAGCAGCGGTCTAAGACTACAAAATTTTTGCAACTGTTCGATATCAAATAATACAAAAAGTGGCATATCGGCATAATGCCGATGAAATAATAAGGCACCGAATTTAATTTATCAATCTTGCCCAAAACTCTGTCAAATTTGCTTAGGGAACCTAATGCTGTCAATTAAATGTTGATTAGCTACGAATGATTTATTTTCAGCATTAATAAACACACATAAAAGAGCTTCCAACTGTCATATCCAAACCATACTTTCAAGCAATAAAATACATAATGTACATGACTGATTCGTTACTTATTGAGCTGCATCTCGTTGTCCAAGATGAAATTTAGGCAAATACTTAACGAGGTTATTTATAATTGTTTGTATTTTATTGGCGAAAATACATCTTAACAGTATAAAAATTAAAGATGGGAACTGTAATTAATATGTTGCAACTTTTAATGTTGCAACTTACGTTGCAATTAGTTTTAACCTATATATGTTGCAACTTATAATGTTACAACATATGTTGCAACTAATTTTAGCTTATGTTACAACATTTTGTAAATTTGAAATCAATTGCTGTACCATCTTTAATAAAAATACACTTTGTAAACTCATTTATTGACGAATAGCTTGCCTGTACGTATGTAAAAATTCATTTACGAATAAGAGTTTATTATCATGCGTAGTTTCATCATATTCTACACTTTTTACAGCTCTAATTCATGAAGAATATTGGAAGACTTTAATTAAAAAAAATATCAGTCGTGGTTCAACAATGTCCATGAAAATATTAAAATTAAGAAATGCAAGTATCATTGGACAAAAATCTTTCAATTGATGAATAATCTGTGTTGCACTCTAGAGTTCAATTAGATACACTTGGGAGCAATTTGTATCGTTATTTATTTCAATATGATTTAATGTCATAAAGGACCTCATAAGATAGATTTAATATGTTGTATCCTTATAATAACTCAATTTTATGGCTATCAATAGATAGATTATTAACCCACTTATAGTGTTGCTGAGATCAGTTCTATGGATCGTTAATTTAACGCGATGATTCTACATCAAAAACTTTATATTCTCGGGAAATTTGTTTAGGTAAAAGCAAATTACTTTTTATAAATAATGGTATATTAAAAATATCTGTATCTTGTTTTTTTACTTTCCAAGTTTATAATTTTTAAATATTTACTAAAACGCAATCCTAATAAAAGAAAATTGAATATAAAAAAAATAATAATAAATAATTAAATACTAACTAATAAAAATAAATAATAAATATACTAAGAAAGAAAATAATACAAATAAATGTGCATATCTTTTTATAAACCTTATAGTGCAGCAGACCTGATCTAAAAAAAGGAAATTCAGTCAAGTCCAGAAACAATATTGTTGTTTTATTCTGGCTTCTGTGATTTTTCAAACTCTTCACGTTATATTAAAATAGCTAGTTAAATTTTTTACATGACACCTTTTTTTGAAAAAAAAATTTAACCACTTCAATTCGTTAGAAGGATTTTCTTCAGACTCTATTATATCACATTTTCCAGTACTAATTAACATAAGCATAGTTTTAATGAGTGTGAGAATATCAAAATGGAGTAGTTTTTTTAAGAGCGTCCTAAATTTAGGCTTTAATATATAGGGCCTTTGCAATAGAAAAGGGGAAACTACCAAGCAATGAAATCTAAAAAGACAATGATTGTCATTATTGTAATCTTTGTGATTAGTAATAAGTAGTTTATCTCTTTCCATTGCAAGGTCCCATTCAGTTATTGGCAGTTATTTAGTGGTCGATAATCGAATGAGAATGTGCAATGTAATTATATACAGTACGTCATCCCTAATAAATGCACAATAAAAAAATTTATTTGTGTAAGTGTCTAGGATAAAAACTTTAACCCCTACACTTGCAGTCAGCTCGAAATGAACTATTAAAAATTCAATTATATGAAGAATCAACGTCTTCTATAGTGAGCATCAGGACGATCGTTGATACGAACACGATGATGACAAAATTGAACGATGAGATGATTACATTTACTATAATAAGAATTTTAATGGATCAATTCACAAATAAAGTTCATTTATTTATACCATAAATCTAGAAAGGTAAGTTTTTACTTCTTAGTATAAAAATTATTGTTCATTTGATGCAACTAGATTTTAGTATTTTTTTTTTCCTCAAATTTTTTATTTACATTCAAACGATCATTTTTTTATTTAATTTTTTTCTGATCGATCATTCACTATTTTTTTCTCAAAATGCAATGGATCTTTTGAATTTATGCTCTATGCCACAACTAATAATAGATTCGATTTTTAAATCATTTTTGATTATTTTAATAGAATCGATTCCAATCCCTACCTCCAAGTCGTGTTGGTAATGCTTGACAGTCTCTCAAATAGGGTAGTGCAGATTCGCATCATACTTGCAAAGTTGAGAAGCACACTTCTTGCGTGAGCTCCTCTCTCTTAGGAAACTAAATTAAACCCATTGTTTTATTTTCAGGTTTAGGATGAATGGTTCGATTAAGAAAGTTACACCTTTTTCGATCTATGTAGGAAATCCGGTATTCATTCCAATCGACCATGAGTCACCAACAAAATTTCCTTGCTTTTAAAATATGGGAGGAGGTTAGTTTTTCACTAAATATACTAATTTTATTTTTCTTGGTGACAATATAATTTATAATTAGATTATTATTAGAAAAATGGAAAATATTAATCCCGCCAATTATTTTGATGAATTAATTAATAACAAATTGATATAAGATTGATTTTCTCATTATTAGTAATTTTTATCATTAAAAAAATTTCATAAGTAACAAATTATATAAATTATATAGATTATTATGAATAACAAACAAAGAACTAATTTATTTATTATCAATTAATAAATCGTCATCTAACTTTAAGCTTATTAGAATTTCATTGCAGCTTTACTTTATGAAAGAAAATCTTTAATAGTTATCGTTATTAATGAAGATGCAAAAGTCAACTCATCTGCCTTGCAAAAAAAATATTAAAAATAAAAATATTTATCATCCAACCTAAATTAAATAAGTATTGATACTTACATTTAATGAATGTTAAATCCTCTGTCAGAATTAGAAGTAATCGTAAAACTACATAAATACATTTTTTTATTTTATTCTATTATAAGTATGAATAAAATAAAGTTAATTTCTCATGTAGATAAACTAGATATTTATAATTTGAAATTACTAAGTATGAGTTGTCATTTTTTTTAATAGATAAAATCTCACTGCCACAAATCTTTTAAAGGAAAAGATCGATAATTCTCCTCATGAAAAAGTTTAACTAGCAAGTTGGTTATTCAAAAGTTTTCAAATCATTACGTTTGGTGTTTTGACCTATACACAAATATAAAAAAATAGAAATAAAAATTTTAATTCTCAGTTATTAATCAATGGTTCGTGAAATATTGGATAAAGTTTTAATAATAAATTTCTTGTAATTGTTTATTGCAAAATGAATATATAAACAAAGCTCAATAATTAAACCAACCTTTTACATTTATGAATATACTTTTCATGACTTTTGGATTGGTACGAAATTTATATTCTCAAGGAAACATTGGTCATGAATAAGTTGAACAAGCAACAACAAATATAAAAATCATTGACATTTCAGACATATAATTCTTTGTTATATTATAAATCACATTTGGAATGGATATCTTTACCACTTACTGTTTAAATCACAATTAAGATACAAAAAAATAGAATTCAAGTTAAAGATGAAGAGAAGTAATAAAGACCTTAGAAAAAAATGATAATTTATAAAAAGTATAAAAACGGTAGTAATAGTTGGAAATAAAATTATAATGTAATTTATGAAAATAATACTTGCAATTTTAAATTTTAATGAAATTCATCGTTAATTGATTGATTTACTCACTTCAAAGTATCTTCACTATAAATAATATTGGAGAAGTTAGTTAACTTATAGCACCTAACAAAATAGATCATAAAATATTTTTTTATTGTAAATATTGAACAGGTAATTATATTAATTAGGTGAACAAATTCATAGAATTACATTGGTTGGCTAAAATTTATTATTTATAAAGTATGATATGAAGTGAAATCACTTAATTGTTCCCTTAAATTTATATATATATATATATTATATTTATTTAATGTTACGATACTATATCGCAAAATTAAAAATAAAGAGGAGCTTATTCTCAATCCTTCTTTAGTAAATCGTAATACATAAGATTATCACAAACTTTAAATTAAAAATGTAGTTTTCAGAAAAAGTATAAAAAATATTGAGTTTTAATTGATACCAATGATCACAAAGAACCTATACACATATTTGTAGCAATATAATCACTAATTTTAATCAATAGCTATTATTGGGAATCGTACCTGGAATTATTTATTCAGAACAATCTCACGTACTAACAATAATAACAGTTCTCCTAAGAATTATTAAATTATAATTTTAAATATCCTTTTGTATAAATAATTACATCATCTAGGTAGATTGCCACAAATATTCCAATGAAATCTTTCAAAATCCAATTCATTAGTCATTAAAAGGTGCCTGATGCATTGTTTAATCTGAAAGCATAACTAGAAATTCATATAGTCTATGAGTGGTAATAAATGCAGTTTTTTCAATATCTTTAGGATGCATAGTTACTTGCCAATATCCACTGGCTAAATCTAATATAGTAAACCAATATACTCTACCTAAAGAATCTAATAAGTCATCGATCCTTGGTAAAGGATAGGCGTCAATTTTTGTTACTGCATTTAGCTTGCGATATTTACACAGAATCTTTTATCGCCTCCTTTTTTTCCAACTATTATAACTGGTAAGCTGTAGGATAATCAGATTATCTTATTTGTTTCTATTCATTTTAATTTTTCATTTAAAAATTTGGTATTTTTTGGATTTATCCTATAAGAGTTTTAGGTAATTGGTATTGAATCTTCTAATTTCCATTTGACTTTTGCACAGATATTAGTATATTTGACTAAAAGATCTTGGAATAATTATTGTTAGTGATCATCCAATGGTCCAGTTTATTCGAATAGAATAATTTTCTGTTCTGTGATAAATTCTGCTACTTCAGCAAGAAAAAATGCTAGGTTAATTTCTTTAGAATTATCTTCCATTTCTTCATTATTAGTATTTCTTCTGAATTTATTGAAGAATATTAATTGTTTCAGAGAATAAATTACAATTCATTAGTGTTATCAGATTCTGATTCAAAGCATTCCTCCAATAGGTAGATACTGTAGGATACCCTTTTAAAAGTTCATTCTTATAATCATCCTTCTCTTTTTCCTGGATTACTACTTTAGAAGTTTTTGTGAAAGTTACAGGAATTCGTATAACATATATTCCTTGTTTAATAGTTAGAGTAGATTTTTTCCAATAAATATTAATGTAAAGGATAGTAAATATAACATAAGTTTAAAATGAATAAATATTCACTATCTGTTCTAAAATTTCTTTTGTGTAATGTTAAAAATATTTGTACATTAAGCGAATTGTATTATTGTCTAATATAACTTCATTGACTACTGCTAGAAACTAACCTATTTTAAAACATTTTCTCAAAGGAAAGAAATGACAAGTAGTTTTTTAGAAAGAAAGTAAAAAAAGCTTGTTATGTAGTTTAATTGTTTTTTTTTGTTTTTTTGTTTATTTATATTAAAATATATTAATTAAAAATATTATACAATTACTTAACCATATATGGTAAACTATAACTTTGTTACATTTTTATTGTCTATTTGATTTATTGATCTATCACTCAGAGGTTGAAGAAAAAAATATCAATCAATA